TTTTCATGTATCTCAAATCCACGGCTGTCTCAAACTCTAATAAATTTCTTTTGGATATGTTTTTTCAGTCATTTACAATCGGCTATCTTAAATCCCATTTCCTTTGGGAGTTTGAGTTACCAGGGTTTAAGTGTGTGAAAATTTCAAATGACCAACCAAGCCAGTCAGTCAGCCATTGTTATGCTTAATACAGGGTTGCCACAGGTCAGGAAATGGTCAGGGGAAAAAACTTCTTCAAGGTCAGCAAAAAGTTAGGGAATTTTACTTTGAGTCAGGGAAAATTGAAATAATATAGCACAGCTGATTTAATACCATTGAAGGCTGGAAGAAACATTTGGAGTCACAATGATATTTTTACTTAATGGAGAAGGAATGGCAACTTATCAGTCTTATTCAATGAGTGGAAAGGAGGGCTCTAAGTTAATACCAAAAGCCACTGCTAGTTCTGACATTTTGTATTTAGTTGGTCAGGGAAATTTTATTTTGATCAGGGAAAAGTCAGGGAAAAGTCAGGGAATTTTGATAAGTGTGTCTGTGGCAACCATGTAACAATAATGCAAATATTGTCACTTGGTTAATATCTAAGTGTTGTATTTTAATTTCTGTTTTTTCAACAGGTCCATCCAGTCAACCTCCAAATGAGGACTCTAAGCGGGTACTGAACATGGAAAAAGTGTACTGTCTACTGGATCCCAAGGATGAGTCAAACACGAGTGCCTGTGTTAAAGGAGCATGGGCCATTATACAGCAAACTCTACAGCTGTATTCCTTGGACGAATTGTGTATCAGTTTCAATGGTGGCAAGGACTGCACTGTACTGTTGCACATGTTACATGCTGTGGTTAATAAGCTGTCAACCCCACCCCAAAAACTGAAGGCTTTGTACATTCGCTATGACTCACCATTTCCACAAGCAGAAGAGTTTATCTCAGAAACAACTGAAAGGTATAATTTGAACCTCATAACTATGATGGGAGATATCAAAGCAGCTCTGAAGACTTTGAAAGAAACTCAGCCTGTAATCAAAGCAATTTTGTTGGGAACTAGAAGGCATGACCCTTTTTCAGATGCACTACGCACTTTCTCTCCAACAGACCCAGACTGGCCACACTACATGAGGGTAAATCCAATTTTGGATTGGCATCATGCTGATGTGTGGTCTATGATCAGAGAGTGCAGTATTCCATACTGCTGTTTATATGATGAGGGATACACATCACTGGGAAGCACCCACAACACAACCCCAAACCCTGCCTTAAAATATGACGACGGTAGCAACAAGTACAAACCTGCTTATATGTTGGAAGATGGACACCTGGAAAGGGCTGGTAGAAACTGAAAACCTTACTACAAGGCAAAAAAATTTGATTTCTCGTGATAATAAGTTGAATAAGAATTTGTTTACCCCACAAAGGCACTAAGTTAAACCCAAAATCTAACATTTCCATTATAATTTTTAGTTGTTTCACAACTGAATAATTTGTTTCTTAGTGACAAAATTTCTTGCTGTTACCAAGGGCTCTATCTTTTCTCTGTCAAGACATTACAGTACTGATAAATAATGTACAAATACATATACATGTACATTGTTGGTGGGAAGTACATACTCAAGAGTGTCTAGTATTCACAAACTTCCTAAAATGTAAAGGGGCAACCCCTGAAAAAAAACAATGTGGGAACTCCCTGAAAGGAATTTAATTTTTATGGCAATACGCATGTACAGCTTTTAAAATTTGATCTATGGTTTCATCAAGAATTAAAAAAGTAGAACAACCTTACGTGACCTAATAGCCAGTGAGAGCACAGGAAAGTACTGTTCAATAACTTTCACTTGAATGGTCACACACTAGGGTTTCATCCATAGACTTAGAACCACCTGGTACAGAATACTAAACAGTGCTGAGTGAAAGTACTGCTCAATAGCTTTCATTTGAATGGTCACACACTAGGGTTTCATCCACAGATGTAAAAGTTAGAACCACGTACAGCACAATAAACACTGAACTTGTAATATAGAATATTATCTCTGTCAATTAACTCTGTTTAGGTCTTAGTCAAAGTTTCTTGTCAAGTTCATTTTTCCACTATGTGCTGCTCTACCCATGCAATTTATTTGGATTTTTGGTTGCTATATATGGTTTTTGTAACTTCAGTGCTTGAAATAATTTCTCAGCTGGCACTGGTCAAGTTGTCCAATCAAATCTATTTTTGCTCAGACAAGAAATAATTTTGACTGGACAATTATGCATTATGTCATAATTCCTAAACAA